GGCAAAATTTCATGACAGATTAATGACAACAAGTAATAATATTGTAAAGACTGTATTTCTCACAGCATACCTGACGACAAGAGATTTTATAACGAAATAATTTAAATTGGTATTTTATAATTGATGTATATTTTAAAAATGATAATAACAATTTATTTAATTAATAATATAAAAATGTTAACTATGGGTATATACCTGAAAATAAAGAGATTTATTATTAAATCACATTTTACCCGCGAAACGTTAAGGATTAAATAAATTTGCCACAAATTTACGCATAATAGCGTAAATAAAGTCATGTCGTAAATAATTACTCGCAACAAAATACAAGTATACCATATATTTACGCAAAGACGCGTAAAGAAAGTTACATAAGAAAAATATCATCATATCAGCCGTTAACTGTCCACTGCTGGACATAAGCCTTCCCCAGAAGGGGAGTTTTACCAGTAGTTACCACGCTTGGGGTTAACAACCGCAGTTAGGCTTCTAGTTATGTTTTAAGAGGGACACTGCTACTTAACCCTCTTTACATTAAAGAACCCCTCACAATTAAATTAAAGAAAAATATAACTATTGCTTAATTTTAATCAATCTCCAAACACGTAATATGGGGGGGGGAGGGAATTGTTAGTAAAAGGGAATACCCATTGTTTGTTAACAACGGGGACCACGTGGAGGTCGACCTGACAATGTATATTGTTATATACATTGTCAGGTCGACCTCCACGTGGTCCCCGTTGGAAACCATCGTGCTAAATTCCAGGTGTATCCATCACGACGGGCTAACCGACCTGCTTTTCATACTCACCTATCACCCTTCACTGGTAACCTGCCAGCGTATGCCGATAGCGCAGGCGGGATTACCATTCCATTATAATCAATTAAATGCATAATATCTAATTTACCAACTTACTATGCCAATCAATATCAGTCACAACGTTATAATCCGATTATTAAGAATTGAATGTGATTTATATAGACTGGACGTTAATACAACTCACTGTCAATTTCGTCACGATAATAAGGCAGTGTTAAGCTTGATTTTGACAGATAATATCATTTTGAAGATTATATGATTAGTGATTGCACGATATTGAAATAAATGGATGGTTTTTTAATACTAATGGCTGTGGCTAATGTTTTATAATATGCTATGGCTGTGTTTCGGTTTGAAGGGTGGGACATGGCGTAAATTTCCTGGGTACAGAGGAATAACACCTGAGTCCTCAGGAATGGCAACGCATGGGGGGTATCATGGGCGAAACAGTATACTCTGTTATGTGCATGGTACTGCTCATGTCTATAGGCGACGGTTACCACTTTTCATCAGGTGGGCCGTCAGCTTGTTTGCCATTCTAAGTTATATAAAAAGAAAAAAAAATTAAAATATTTACTTTCTTACTAAATTAATAACATTCTATGATTTAAATCCACAACTGAATAATACATAAAACTCTTCTATCCCAATAATTATGTCCACATTAAATTTATCAATACATTACAACCGCAACAAGTTACGCACAGCGGGACATCTCATTACGCACTCACTGCTGGTACGGTTATGTTTAATATTGACAAATACATTGATAAATGGTTATATTATTAAGCGGTTACATAAATTTAAAGGCATATTTACTAATATTATATATGTTAAAGTGAGTTTGTTTACTCAACCAATTGTCATGAAAATGGGTATACATTTAGTGTTAAGACGTGTGATCCCCGCATAGAATAGATCACTCTTTCTTTTCCTGTGTGTGTCGGAGGAGGTGACTAAAGGAGGGCGAGGGATGGGCAGCAGCGTCCATCTTAAAATATCTCTAAAGACCTAATTGCGGTTGACTATGTAGCATAAAGAAGCAGCTGTTTTAATAGAATATCACAAAATATATAAATAAACAAATAATAAATTGACCCGGTTGTAAAACTATCTACTGGTTTCCAATAGTAATACAAATCAAAGGTCGATTAATCGATTGAATTTTTCGACATTTTACTCATTTCATTTTGACAGTGCCCCTGTGATAATTTCAACATAATTAAAGATTGTGTCTCACAAGAAAAAAAACCCAATTTCTATTGTGATAAAACCAGTTATTTTGATCTAACAACTAAATTACTGAACCGAATTTGATAGAATTTCTATGAAACTAATCTATAAATATACCCTTTAAGATAAAGAAGGAATTTTCCAAATCGGTTTAGAAATAAGTTATGAGGTTACAAAGAGAAAAACAAAGTACAACCGAATTCAGAACTTCATACTTTTTGAAGTCGATTAAAAAATAAAGTTAACAATCAAGTTGACATTTTGACGAAGATGTCTACTTTAAAGATGATCCATATCAATCAATGGTTGAATAAATTTTCCATTAAAAAGTTAAGAGGACTCGAATACGTTCATTATAAATATACCTTTACTATACGAGGTCTGTCCGGAAAGTTCGTATAAAAGTGTTCTGGAATGCGAGAAAGAGGAGTGGGGAGGCCAGGTAAGCGCAGGACCCCTTCCTTATGTCCCTAACAATGCTTCAGTTCTGGTCTGACCGCCGTGCGGTGCGAACTGGCTTGTCACGCCATCTGTGAAGTTACCTCTTAACGAAACCCCGTCGGCATGGAGCCCGCTTCCGTTGAAGAGCAGCGCGTCGTAATCAAGTTTCTCTCGAAACTCGGCAAGAATGGCCGTGAAATTTTTGCCGATCTCAGAACAGTTTATGGGGATGATGCTGTGAAGGAACCAACCGTCCACAAGTGGCTAAAAAGATTCAGAGAGGGCCGAGAAAGCGTTCAAGATGACCCACGTTCAGGACGTCCTTCCACTTCACATTCCGACGAAAACGTGGAAAGAATTCGAACTTGTGTTAATGGGGACCGTCGTTTAACGGTCAGACAGGTGGCTGAAGAGCTTAATTTGGGCAAAACCGTGGTCCACGAAATTCTAAGAAACGAACTTCAAATGAAAAAAATTTGCGCCAAGATCGTTCCGTGAGTTTTTGAGTAAAAATTCCATTACGGTGACCGAACACCCCCCTATTCGCCGGATTTGGCCCCGTGTGACTTCTTCTTGTTCCCAAAAACCAAATTGGTACTTCGGGGGCGGCATTTGGGGGACATAAATGAGATAAAAAAAGCTACGACGGGGCAGCTGAAAAACCTACAACCAGAGGACTTTCAAGGAGCCTTCTCACAGTGGAAACGGCGTTGGCACAAGTGCATTATGTCACAGGGGGAGTACTTTGAAGGGGATAAAATTGATTTACCTGAATAATTGTAAAATAAAATTTTTAAAAAACTTTTATACGTACTTTCCGGACAAACCTCGTAAAAGTCTTAATCGTGAACAACCCTGTTATATGACAGCTGTTGTTATGTCGCAAACTGAAATGAACACTTGTATCTTATTAAAACTAGTAACAGACTGGGCACTCTATAATTTACTGTCATTATACCGTGGCACACTGACACGTTTCCTTATAATCAACTGTCATTATAATCACAAAACGATACAATAACATACTATTATTTGACACTGTAAAATTCTTAGAAATAATTGCGTTAAATACTATTGTATGTATTTCAAATGAATTTACGCGTTTTTAGGGTTCCCTTGTAAAAGTAGAATCCGTAAAAAATTTGTACTAGTTTTAGTATTCTTATATATTCTTATATAAATGGGTAATAGGTGTTTTACGTATACATGTTAGCAGTATTTATATATTTGTGTAGGTGTTTATATGCATATGTGTATGTGTATGTATATGTATGTATGTATGTGTGTATATGGATATATATAGATATAGGATATTTATTTACATTATTACATCTCCATATTTAGAAATAATAGGATCTTTATCGTGCCTACAATCAAACGGTGTAAAATTACTCCTCTCCATCCAAAGGTTGCCTGGAAGAGATCGCTTTTAGCGATAAGGTCGCCCATTGTTTTCTCATTGTGATCATTTCTTGTAATTGTTTATATTTAGAATAAGTTTACTATTGTAATCTTTTGGAGGAAATAATAAAGAGTATGTAGTATCTAGTAATACAGTATTGCAGGAATATCATATATGTATTCTGATACATATATGATATATGGAACACTATTTTATATGTCATCAATAGCTTTTGCAATTTTGATACCTTGGATTACATTATTCCAATTTTGCTGTCGCCGTTCGTAATGTCACGTATGGGCACCACAGAATATCAGCGCTGTAGCAATTAAATTGCTGCAGCACATGCTGAGTGGTGACCATGTTGGCAATAATAAATGTAAAGTTTTTTTTTTTAATTCATAATGTATGTAACTTTTTGTTGTTGTCAATAAATGTTTTCTTTCTTTCTTTCTAAGTAGCGATTTCTATTTTTTTTTAATATGATATAGCCTATGTTGCTAGGGGAAGGTGTAGCTTTATAATGATTTTATCAGCCGTGAACTATCCACTGCTGGAAATAAGCCTTCCCCATAAGGGAAGTTTTGCCAATAGTTGCCACGTTTGGCAGGTGGGTTGGCAACCGTAATTAGGCTTCAAAGATGTTTTAAGAGGAACGCTGCTGCCCATCTCTCGTCCTCCCTTAGTCGCCTCTTACGACACCTAAAAGAAAGGAAGGGGTGACCCATTCTGTGCCGGGACCCCACACAAGGAAATTTTAATACCTTGGATTACATTATTCCAATTTAGGTAGGGATCTCTATTTTTTTTTGAAAATATAATATAGCCTATGTAACTCGGCGTAGATATAGCTTTCTAATAGTTTAAAAATTTTCAAAATAAGTCAAGTAATTTTGAAGTTAAATCATAACAGACAAATAAACAAAAAATCAAACGTTTCCACTTTATAATATTTGTTTGTATAATGAGTCGACATCGTTAGATAAAATTCAATGAATTGTTTATTTTGTGTTAATATGGTAAACAGTATTGCTTTGTAAATACCATTATATTAATTATGACAACAGTCCTAGCGGTATATAAGCTCAAAATCAAAAGGGGACTGCCATTTACAAAGTCATCAACGTACGTTGAAGTCTCCAAGTATTTAGTTATTGTGTCGTGAATTACCAATGTTCCATTCATGGAGGTAAGCTTAGATATTTTTTTTACTTACGTTTAATTTTTTTTTAATTCAATTTATTACATTTTGATGAATGTGACAAATTTTTAAATTATGCAACAGTAAAGAGACACCTTAGTCCTCAGGAATGGCAACGCATGGGGAGTATCATGGGCGAAATGGTATACTATGTTATGTTCAAGGTACTGCTCATGTCTATAGGCGACGATTACCACTTTCTATCAGGTGGACCATCAGTTTATTTGTCATTCTAAGCTACATAAAAAAATATATATATATAATCTAATTTTAAAGACAAATAAAGCAGTTGTGTTTGCATGGTTGTGTTTCGGTTTGAAGGGTGGGATACGGCAGTGAATTTACAAGGTACGGAGGCATAACATCCTAGTCTTCAGGAATGGCAACGCATGGGAAGTATTATGGGCGAAACACTCTGTTATGTCCATGGTACTGCTCATGTCTATAGGTTACCACTTTCCATCAGGTGGGCCGTCAGCTTGTTCGCCATTTTAAGTTGCATAAAAAAATCAAAAATATACTACAATTTAACAAATTAATAATATTTTATATAGATAACATGCATACACACATATCTGTCACGCCTGTCTTCCATTAGAGTAGGCAGAAACAATGGAACGTCAAATTCATACAAATAAATCGAAAATAATCGTTCAATACAAATATCAATTGTAATAAAAATTGAGTAACTATAGATAATAACTATAAAGAAATAGTTTATTGAGCAAATGCATTTTTCGAACAAAAGGACACGGTGTTTGATTTTTAAAAATTCACCAATTTTGGATAGTTTTCGGAATATTTGGTAATTTGTTGAACAACTTCTTTTGTTGGAATTTTCACTCTGTGTCTAAATTACTTTTTTTTTATACCACTGAGGTGGCAAACAAGCATACGGTCCACCTGATGGTAAGTGGTTACCGTAGCCTATGAACACCTGCAATACCAGAGGTATTACGCGTGCGTTGCCGACCCTGAAGAAACCTCTTTACCCCCTTTTGAAGAACCCCATACTGTAGTCTCTTGGGAAAACCTCTAAAACTATGTTTAGTTCCGATTGTGTGTCACTCATAATATCTTTACGTCTAGAACTCGTACGCAATTCTCTTTCTTGTGTCGATTCAATTCGAAGTAGATTTAAAACAAAAATACAACGATAATCAATACAAGATAGACGAAACACTGTGAGTATGCGATATTTTTTTTAAAAGTCCCTGCAAGACTGCCACTGTGGTATACAAACGATCATTCTTATTACTCTTTTTGTAGTCTTTTTTTGTATTATAATTAAAACTGTTTTCCTATAATTGAATACTATATAGAAATTTCAATTTTAGTAACAAGCAATATACTGATTTAAGTTGATTTATAGTTAAAACGTTCCTTAATTTACTATGTCTTAATTGAAATTATTTCTGAACCGAGTGCACGTGTAATTTTTTAAGCAAAGTTAATGTTATTGTTTCAGAATATCTCTCTTTTCATTTAAGAGTTTCTTCTTGTCGGTGCAACTAATTCATGCATCTTCTTCCAGTCAGCTCTATCCCAGACCATATCCTTGATCTCCCTATACGACATGACACCTAGTGTTTCTTTTATCTGTCCCATGTAGTTATTCCTCGGTCTTCCTCTTCCTCTTTTGCTCTCTATTCTTCCTTCTACTATGCTCTTAAAAAATCGTCATGTCGTATAAGGTGGCCGAGCATTTTGCCTCTTCTATTCTCTATTATTTTAATTAATGTTCTTTTCTCGTTCACTCTTTTCAGGACTTCCTCATTCGTTAGTTTTTCTGTCCAGTTTCAGAATATATTTGAAGAAAATACAGTCGAATATAACCATTACAGAACACAATTCGATAATAATAGTGATATTTTAATCATTATGAAAGAAACAATGAAGCCGTCATCATACTCAACCTTGCATTTAATTAAAATAGAAGTGTTCGATTAGGAGTCATTTGCAAACATACCGACAGATCAACATTGGAAAAATGCGAAGTTAAAAATGAAATATTACACCAACAAAAACAACAAACATTTAGACATCATAAACAAAATAATGTAACAAAAGAAATTTTACAGACAGATACTTGTAAAACAATGTGCTTTAACAATAATGACGAGTAACTAACTAATGAATGTTAATTACAATTTAATTTATGGATAAATGATTAGCAAGATTTTAATGAGTTAATCGTTTTTATTTATTATAACAAAAGATTTTGAAATGTTTATTTGAATCCAGTTGTATAAGAAGCTCAGCAAAATTTATAGCGAATATAATTTACACTTGAATAGTGTAGCATAAACTGGAATAAAATGGAATTTACTTGTGTTAGTACATTTTTCAATGGCTTTAACTTTGAGTGCAATGAGAGTATAAACAAGCTAGAACTGTAAGAAATATCTGAAGAAATGGAGACGTTTCGTGTAGAAATAGAAATAGTAAACTCAGAACTAGTCAACACCGAATATGATGAAGAGTTGCACCTTTGTGTTAATATTAAAAAACAGTAATAGGTATGTGATACTTAAACAATATTTTGTAGTATCAAACTAACTTAATTTTGTATTGCTAACAATTTTGTTTATTCATAGTCAACCATCATGAAATTCCATACAAATGGAGTGGAGGTTAAAAATAAAAATGAACTCAAAATACTCAAACAAAGAAGTCCAGAGACCGTGTCAAGAATCATCAACTTTAGCAGATATTGATAAGGTATTTTGTAACGTATGTAATATTAGTGCAGAAGGTTTTTTGTAAATCACACTAAGAGTAATATTTTACAATAATATTTTAAAATTGCATTGCTCCTTTGCTAATGTGTCTGTTATAGTATGCCTTAAGGCAACCAGTAATATCTAATAAAATTAAAAGAAAGGAATAATTTGATTTAGAATTCCAAACACCAGAACAATTTTTAGAAGCTATTAAAAGTGTCTCAGTTTTCATAATCGATGAGGAAATGAAGCAACATTCTTCTTTAAAGATAAACTTTGTTTTACATGCAGATTTTCTACAAAAAATTAAACAACTAATTAATTTGATTTTCAAACAAGTAATTTCATGATTTCCAAAGCGGATGATATACAATTTTTTATGCTCTCTTTACATGATACTTTAGCAAACTTGATAATTGGAGACTAATCTTTTGATTGAATCATGTACTAAAAATAGAAGTTCTAAATTTCTATAAATTAAAAGTTTCCTTAAATTTTCGGATATAAGTATTTCTCCTACTTCTTCATAATAAAGTTCAGATATATGTAGGTCCAAGGAGCCAGAAATAAAATTCCTTCTATACACAAGCGATTTAACTTTTATATAACTTCAAAATTAATTCTTAGAAATAATTCGTAGGAGCACACATAAACTCGTTCATTTGTCGTCCATCTTAATCTTTTTCCAACCGTTCCTCTCTTCACTCCACATCAGTCTCTTTTCTCGTATTCCAATCTATGAATACAACATTCACTTTTAACATACGTTCCGTTTCATACCAATCCCACATATATATTATAAAGATATCTAGATTAGTATTTACAATTAAAATATTAGTTTAATAGACGGAAGATTCCATGAAAAGGACATCAAACGGCGACAAATACAGATAATGACTTAGTAATGGAAACTTGGATGAGATAGATAAATATATTAATAAGAATATTAAACAATATAATGATTCCGATGGAAACTTGAGTGTCTTAGGTCACGTACACATATTATTATGTGGCGTGTATGTAACATTTCCCCCCTTAGAATAAAGATTGTGCTTGAGAACCTGATTGACCTCTCAGTGTTAAAGTCCTTGTATAACTTCCCTCGTTTTCCTCTTTGTTTTCCGTTACGCAGGTACTTGTTGCTATAGTAGTCTTTGGGACGACAACCTGGGTCCTCTAAAGTCGTGATGTGTTTGCAAAACCGTTGTTGAATATTTGTATACAACCATTATCATGGCTCGGTCTTCGATTACGCAGGAGTAGTCCGTAAGAACAACGTTTGTTGATTTTATAACCGAAATATCTAAGAATTGTTATAAATAACACGAAGTATATCCATGTGAACGTTGTCGAATATCTTTGTGTGATCGGTCGAGATCATATATTCTCTAAATTTTCCTTAAGTTTATCTACATGGTGTTTTATTTGTTTAAGTGAATCCAGAGGCACTTCATTGATTTTAATAGGAATCTGATTCGGAATTTCAATGTTCTTATACTCTTCAAAACAATCATCTGTTCTAATATCTGGAACTATTATAGGATATGCGACATTTTCTTCGATAGATTGGGAGGCTGTCACCGTACTGTACCCAGTATGAAGTTTGTAGTTTACCGGTAGGGATAAAATGCCTGCTCCTTGCAATTTGTGACGTGTAACTTCCGTTTTACACTGAAGTATACAGTTAGGTTCTTCTGTGAATATATAAAGCCATTGGTTGTTGCCGATATTTTGAAACGTTAATTTTTGCTTCAAGCGTAGATGTAGTGCAAATTTCATATAAGGTTTTTGAAATTCATATCGGGATCTGGAACTCACATAGTGGACGTGCTGCTGCTTCATATGCGACAAAATAGATGCAGATGTTCTTTTTCACAGTGTACGACTTGCATGAAATGAAGTCTCTCGTAGACACGTCTACATTACCGCTAGGATTCGTTGCCAAATACATGTGCTCAGGCAAGATGGTTGTGTACAGAGAAGAATTAGAATGTTGGATTGGAATGGAATATATGTGGTAGGTATTGAAAGATTTTCCTTGAATCAATGGAAAATCTAAAGTGTATACAAGTTTATCAGAGTACACATAAGCTGAAAGAGAAGTTGAGTCTAGTATTGGGTGAATATTTTCAACAGTAACTGGAGCAACTAAGTGTTTATTAGTACGAATATGATTTGATAATACAAGTTCTTCATACAGATGCTTCAGTGTTATTACTGAGGGATGTATTGTATTGGGTTTAGTGAATAATATGCTTGCTAAACAATCATTGATTTCATTTTCTAAGTTTATTACGGATTCTAAAATCTGCAGAGAAATTGCGGAAATATCTTCACTAGCCTTTAGATTGAAAATAACTTTTTGACTTGAATTTACGTAATCGTTAAGGCGATTAATATTTTCGTTAATTATTTGTTCATCATATTATATTATCTTAAATATAGTTTCGTTGAAGTTTTTGGTTGTTGAAGAAATAATTTGGATTTATTCAAGCATCAAGGAAGATGATTCTATTTCACATTTTTCTAATTTATTAATGCAATCATCATATCGCTTTGCGTCATTAGCGTCAGGAGTACCTATTAGCCATTTAAGAATAGAACTGAGTTCTTCTAACAGTTTTCCTTTTTGTCTAGTATTCCTAACTAAATACATATTTAATTCTGATAAACGATTCTCTATTTATCTATTTTATTAATCGATTTGCGTGAGCCAACTGGTTCCTGTCGGATTTATGAATTATATAATTTTCACTAAAACCTACATGTATTGCGTCGCATGGCCTTTCCCACTTATTGTCTAAATTGTTTGGGTTAGGGACCTTGATCATCACCTTGTCATAACGTTTAAAGGCTTTTCTTTCATTTTCTGAATGTTCTGTATTGCAACATCGTGGGCTGTTCTAAGTTGTTCGTTTAAGTCTTTAGGTCGTTTAAGTATTGTTTTTAATGAATAGAAAGGTCGTGGTTTAAAACCAACAAGGAGTTCATAAGGTGTGAAACCTATAGAGCTATTGACTAATGTGTTGTGACATATAATATCCAGCGGAATTATTTGATTCCAATTTTGCAGTTTACGTGCTTGGTACATTCGTATTTTTGTAATGTTCGGGTCGTCAGAAGAAAAAAATCGCCGATGAATATTTATTAGTTTTAATGAAGAGTATAAAATTCACTTAGACTAGAGATTAACACTATGATGACAGCTACTGAACACTTTGACAATTGTAGAACAATTAAACTTCCTAAGGGTGGAAGGTCCTTATATATGCCTACAAACATTATGTTAGCATAGTGACCATTAGATAAATATCCAAAATTTACAACACATTATTTAATCAATAGCAAACATCCAATGTTCTGATGAAAACAAAGCTGTAATCACTCTATTTAGTTATGATACTTTCTAATGACGTATTTATCATCTAACAATATTCTTTGTTCACTGTTGACTACAATACGTAATTATTCATCGTTATAGTATTTATCTGTATATTACAATTCTCCCCCGTTAAGAAAAACAAAAAATTTTCTTTAAAATTATGTTTTTTTCAGACAACATTCAATACAAAAATCATTAAAATAATTTTAACAAACAATTATTCTTATTTTTACGTTAATTAATCATTATATAGTATTAACAATTAACCTTCAAATTAACATGGTTTCATTATAATAATTAATAATACATATATTTGGTAATTAAAATCTATTATTTATTTTAACAATTCAACTTACTTTTAAATGAGCAATTCTACTGCTTCTTCTTAGCGGTGATAAAACCGGTTCTTCTGTAGAGGATATGTCTTCTAACTCAATATCTCTTTCAGTATCAGTATTATTACTATTGTTAACTCTTAAAGTGATACAATTACTAATTCTAGTACAACAATTTCGAGAATCTTTGAGAGCTAACAGTCTACCTCGATTAGTACAGAAGAATTTACGTTTATAAATATATTTTCCAATACGGTATATTATATAAGAAAACATTATTTTTATAATTGATATGAAAATATAGATAAAGTACGCGTTATTTGTTATCTTAATATAAATTGATTCGTTTTACAAATTAGCTATCATTTCTTCCACTTTATTTATTTTATAGCTTGCTATTTTAAGACTTTCTAAATCTAATTTATCATTAGATCTTAAAGCTATAAATTCAATTTTTGATATATTTTTATCTTCTACAACAGTCATCATTTACAGTGTCAACAGAAGGTAATATAGAATTATATTCACTAATTAGACCTTTTATTTCAGTTTGCAAAATTACGTTCACAGTATATAATTTACAACTATCGGTGATTGACAATATTCCTGTATTAATTATATTAAAATCAATAGGTTCTTTATCTTTACAACTTATGGTTGCGACAGTTTTTCTAGGGATGACAAATAACCATTTGTTGTTAGTATATAACTTATGCCATTGTTCATTAGGAATGTACGTCACTCTAGTATCACATTCATTGGAAACTTTTATATTTCCAAATATTAATTGAGTTTCAGATGTAGGACTTCCATGAACAGAGTACAAAGGTATATACTATAATGTTCTAAATTATTAAAATAAGCATAATGCATTTTATTACCGGATATTATGAAATATTTTTCTTTAGGCAAAATGAATGTAAATGTCTTATCATTATTTCTAATGGGTACAGGAACTACATTATACAATTCATAATCAGTTTGCGTTATTAAATGTGTTTTAATTAAAAATACAAGTTTATCATTCGTATAATATGAAACTAAATCTACTAAGGATAATAATTCAGAAGCTTCGCTAATTGAAAAACTTAAAGGATATTTAGTTTGTAAAGGCAAATATAGCACAGTTCTTCTAAGCTCTGTAATATATTGTTCAGGGTGTAATGCGTTATTTTTTGAAAACAGGATTGTATTTATGATAGTTGACACTTCATTGCTTATTTTTGTAATAATTAAGGTTAACAATGACAAATGTTCGTTAATATCTTGTTTTAAATTTATATAAAAAATTATCGTGTTCACTTTTTTTGTATAATTAGAAAGAATATCTAAAATTTTAATGAAATTTTTTTTCATTACAATATAGATATGTAAGAGTATTATAAAAATTTGAAAGAGTACTTTTAATGACATTAGTCTGAGTCTTTAATAAACTTAATATATCATGTTCATGAGAATCTAAATTGTAAATAGCTTCGTCATATCGTTCTGCATCTTCAGAATCTAAAGTACTAAAAAGAACTTTAAATATTTTTCCAACATCATCAATGTAAGATCATTTTACTTGATGAACTATATTTGTTCTACCGGTTAATTTCTTTAAAATGCTTTCTTGACTATAAAGTTAAGGGATAATTTGATCTAATACCGTGAATGATGTTTCAGAAAGAGAAAAATTACTAAACTTTTGATGATTATATATTTCCCTAGTTCTACTATAAGTGTTATCTATTAAATCAATCTTATGATGTATTTCAGAAATATTTAAATATATTCATATTCCATTCGCTATCGTAGTGGTTGACTTAACCTTTTTTGTTTTGTTTAACGTGTGGAAATCTTCAGCAAGACCGTCCCACCTGCCGGAGGGAGGGCAGTTGGGGTGTGTGGGATTCGTACCCACTAAAAACCACACGACGTACCTCCAGGCGCTTATGTTGGATCCCGGGTTCCCGTTTGTATGACTACCGAGTATCCAACGCGAGTGGTTGACTTTACCTAGATGTTCAAATATGTTCCGCCTTTGTCTATACTAGTTATATTATATGAGCTTAACTTACTTGCGTTACATCCGTAGATGATAATGAGCATCTTCAAAACTCCAATCATAATGTTCAATCTAAAACAATCGCATGTTTCAGTCTGTTGGTACGAATGGACCTGATCATGGGTTTTTTTCTACACTGAAATGTTAAATGTCCTAGCATATGACAATTAGAACAACGCTTTTTTTTATTTATTTCAAAATGTTTTGAGCTCATTTCATGACGCAATTTTATTTCTTGCTCTTCAGATATGACTATATATATGGCTTCCTCAAAGTTGGGAGGTTTTTGTGATTTTAATAATATGTGTACTTGGGTTATGAGACCACTTATAAAGATATCTAGTGTTTGACTTTTTAATAAATCTATATTTGCTCTCGCGCTTCTTTTGTTAATTTTGGATTCAATGATTTAATTAATTTAATGAAGCAATTTTCGACTTTATTTCAATAATTTAAAACTGGCTCATTATGTCCTTGTTTACATGAATTTAATTCTAATTGCCATTGTACAAACGTTTGTTTTTCAGAATAATTTTCTAATAAATGTTCTGTCAGAGCATTCCATGAATTAAATGTTCGATTTAATAATGTTGACCTGATATTTTCTTCTGTTTTTGATAATACATCTGACACAAATGCAATTCTGTATATTGGATTTAATAAATTATACGCATTTTTACAATTATCAATAAAAACATGCAGATTTGCTTTATCATCATTATATCTTTGTATCATTCTTTCTGCCAGACTAATATCGATAAATCCACTATTTTTTATTTCTTCTAAAATAGACATTTATACAAAAATATTTTATTTTTATTACTCTTTATAAACTTAATAATATTTTATAAACTTTAAAACTGTTACACAAATTTTAAATACACAATATAATTTACTTGTCTAGTTTTATGTTGCGGAAATGTTCTTTTTGCTTGTTGCTTCGTTGTAGGGTTTGTAGTCACGCCGTGGTAAAAACTGCCAAAGAATAACAATGGACAGCTGGTGCAGTGTTGTGCTGTCTTCTAAGTCTTGGATGAGTAAAGATGAAATAATCTTGGAGAACTCCAATTTCAGTCTTCTTAAATAAATCTTGGACGAGTATCGAGGATAAATGTGTCTCGACTACTAACTCGAATTTGATTCTTACATCGTTGTGCGTCTTGTTTCTAAAGTATTTTGTACAAACACGTACCAATGTAGTTACGATCTGCTTGTCGATGCTTCCTTTGTTGACCCGGTGTGTTTTATTATTAGGATACGAAATTCATCACTTCTGATACCAATTGGTAATGTTCGGGTCGTCAGAATAAAATATTTCCGAAGAATATTTATAAGTTTTAATGAAGAGTATAAAATTCACTTAGACTAGAGATGAACACTATGATGACAACTACTGAACTGCTTGACAGTTGTAGAACAACAGATTTCTTAGGGATGGAAGGTCCTTATATATGACTACAAACATTATGTTAGCATAGTGACGATTAGATAAATATCCAAAGTTTACAACAACACATTATTTAATCAATAGCAAACATTCAATGTTCTGATGAAAACAAAGCTGTAATCACTCTATTTAGTTATGATACTTTCTAATGACGTATTTATCATCTAACAATATTCTTTGTTCACTGTTAACTACAATACGTAATTTTTCATCGTTATAGTATTTACCTGTACATTACACATACACTTATTAATATGTGGCGTATATGTAACACCTCTTCCCTTAGAATAAATATTGGGCTTGAGAGCCTGATCTCAAGCCCAATGATTGACCTCTCGGTGTTAAAGTTCTTGAATAACTTCCCTAGTTTTTCTCTTCGTCTTCCCTTTCGCAGTTACATATTGCTATAGTAGTCATCTGGACGGCAGCCTGAGTTCTCTGATGTCGTGATGTGTTTACAAAACAGTTGTTGAATATTTGTATACAACCATTATCACGGCTCGGTCTTCGGTTATGTAGGAGTATTCCGTTAGAAGAACGTTTGCTGATTTTATAAATAAAGTATCTAAGAATTGTTATAAATAACACGAAGTATATCCATGTGAACGTTGTCACATATCTTTGTGGGATCGGTCGAGATCTCATATTCTCTAAATTTTCTTTAAACTTGTCTACATGGTGTTTTGTTTGTTTAAGTGAATCCAGAGACATTTCATTGATTTTAATAGGAATCTGATTCGGAATTTCAATGTTCTTATACTCTTCAAAACAATCGTCTGTTCTAATATCTAGAACTATTATAGGATATGTGACATTTTCTTCGATAGATTGGGAGGCTGTCACCGTACTGTACCCAGTATGAAGTTTGTAGTTTTCCAGTAGGGATAATATGCCTGCTCCTTGCAATTTATGACATTTGACTTCTATTTTACACTGAAGTATCCAGTTAGTTTCTTCTGTGAATATATAAAGCCATTGGTTGTTGTCGATATTTTGAAATATGTTAATTTTTGCTTTAAATGTGGACGTGGTGCAAATTTCAAATAAGGTTTTTGAAATATATAACGGGATCTGGAACTCACATAGTGGACGTGCTGCTGCTTCATATGCGACAAAATAGATGCAGATGTTCTTTTTCACAGTGTACGACTTGCATGAAATGAAGTCTCTCGTAGACACGTCTACATTACCGCTAGGATTCGTTGCCAAATACATGTGCTCAGGCAAGATAGTTGTGTACAGAGAGGAATTAGAATGTTGGATTGAAATGGAATATATGTGGTAGGGATTGAAAGATTTTCCTTGAATCAATGGAAAATCTAAAATGTATACAAGTCTATCAGAGTACACATAAGCTGAAAGAGAAGCTGAGTCTAATATTGGGTGAATATTTTCAACAGTAACTGTAACGAGTAACTAAGTGTTTATTAGTACGAATATGATTTGATAATAAAAGTTTTTCATACAGATGCTTCAGTGTTATTACTGAGGGATGTATTGTATTGGGTTTAGTGAATAATATGCTTGCTAAACAATCATTGATATCATTTTCTAAGTTTATTACGGATTCTAATATCAATTTGATGAAAACCGAATGCTAAATCTAAAGTTGTGAAATATACTGATTGTCCTAACTTATCAAGTATGTCAGTTATGTTGGGTAGCAGGTAACCGTCTTCTATAGTGACATCATTTAATTTTATGTAATCAATTACAACGCGCCATTTTTGTTTTCTAGACGCGTCTAGATTTTTTAGGAACTACCCAAATTGAACTGCTCCATGGAGAAGTGCTATCTTTTATAATATTCTGTTTTAACATTTTGTCTTCTTAATTCTTGCTGGTGTATTTGAGGAAATCTATATATTTTAGTATTTATTGGTATATCTGACGTAGTAAGAATAGAGTGTTTGGTGTGATTTGAATACGTCGGTGGCTCACCTTCCACGTAGAAAATGTCCGAATATTCTGAAACTATTTTATCGAGAGATTCACGCTCTTCTTTGTTTAAATGATCATATCTTATAAGGCTACCGATATCTTTTCTTTGTTTTATGCCGGTGTTATTTATTTGTGAATCAGGTAAGGAAATAGGGTGTTGAATTAATTTCGATTCATTGACAGAATTTGCATTTATGATAGGCGTTGAAATATATACTCGTACATCATTGTCACTCGAGTTTACACAATCACAAGGGCATTAGGAATACAGATGTCGTCACCAACGTTTTGTTTATTTATTATTGCAATTTCGACTGAGATATCATTTGTTAAAGATGATATGAGACAGTAATATGAACGACGTTTGATATTTTGATACCATTATCAAAGTACTTTGTTTCGTCTCGGAGTTAATAGTTTTCATTGATTGAGTTAATAAAGTTTCAATTACCTTTATAAGAGATTCGGTGATTTTTATAAGGTTAATCATCAATAATTTAGAAAGCTCTAAGTTGGCCCTAGTAGCCGTCGTGGTTTTATCATCACGAGTACACATATCGCTTAATTGTCCCCGATGGACTGGAATTGTTTGCGCGTGTATAGTGATGTTTGTGTTATATTGATATTGGTATTATATTGATTTCGATAATGCAACACGACACTGGTTACTGTTAACTTTTATTGAAGTTGGAGATCGCTCGTCTGAGGTTCTAGGGTAATGTCCTAACTCTCGGTGATCATCGAGATATTGATGCAATACGTTGGAACCGTTTACAAAACTGTGCCCGTCAGCTCGACCGGTTGCAAGTTTGAACGACTTACTCGAGCTGGGGCTGGATTATTTTGTTATTCGTGGAAATTGAATCTTATGGCTATTATTAAATATTTGCTTCCTGCAATTAGTTATGTGATGCCCAGGTTTTTTACAATAATAGCATATAATGAACTTTCGCGGATCAGTATTAATATTTCTGTTAATCTGGTGGTCTATATATGTAAGGTTGACTGATCTGAGGTGTTGATGAACGATGTTGTTATATAATGTTGTTATTCGATTATTTTTAAACAAACGTTGCCTAGCTGTATTTATTTTTTCGGATTTTTTCTTTCTGGGTTGCAATTTCCGACCTGATTCAATGAAGCAAAACCTTTTGTTTTCAATATTACATCTACGTCAGAACTTAATCCATTAATAAAAACGTTAAGAGCTGTTTCTTCCGTGGTACTTTTCCGTCCTATTAATGTTATGTTACCACTTCAATTGTAAATTTTTCTAAGATTTTATTCCTACATAAATCTACGCGATGAAAAGATTCCGTTACCGATTCATTCGGTTTCTCAATGAGTAATTGTAATTCTAGATTTAGATGTAAAAGAGTTTTTAGCTGCGAAAATTTCTGTGTAAGAAAAGTTTTTAAATTGTCCCAGTTTGAATAAAGTCTCGAGTGAATATCGAAGGAAGTACTCCCACTTATTTTGTTTTAAGCATAGATTAATGAAATTTCTTCTTACCCTAGACTTGCTAATTCAAAAGCTGAATCGCACGATCTTTTGAACTTATATACTTGGCCCGACTGTTGTATCGAAATCTGGTATTAGTTGTAATAAAGTATTTAGCGGTACATTTTGTTCGAAATATTTTGGTTTTACGTCAATGTTTTGCTGTGCCATAATGGATATTAAAATTAGAATAACTGAATTGGTAAAATTTGTATAGTATTATAGATTATTAATAATACATAGATAGTAAATAGAAAAATTGAACTTGAATTGGAATAATAAGATTATTTTATGATTTAGGCGAAAATAGATTTATGGAAAGGAAACAGAGCAACATGTGTTGACCATTTACCCCAATAACAGCAACAGAATACGCATCGCAGAGTATTGTTTCGGCGAAGTGTTCAAAGCCCTTCAGGCACCGTCCTAGGTTTGTCGGCGATGTTTGTCCGGGTCTCAGGCGTTAAGCTCGACTTGCACTATTACGCTGCGAATCCTACCGACTGCGCAAAAATTTTTATGAAGCAGGGTAAAACACAGTTGATGTTTCGAATAAACTCGTAGACTGAATTGAATTTTGTTATTGGAAATAGTCCATATATATTACAGATATATCTTAATTAGTATTTACCATTACAATATTAGTTGAATAGACGGCTGCTTCCATGAAAAGGATGTCAAACGGCGACAAATACGGATAATGACTACTTAGTAATGGAAACTTGGATGAGATAGACAAATATAAATATACAAATGGGAATATTAAAAAATATAATGATTCTGATGGAAACTTGAGTGTCTTAGGTCACGTACACTTGGAAGTGTAAAACAAAAGATAAATACTGAATATAACTATTTAAAAAAGGAGCTTGATTACTGAAGCTATTATAAAGTTTCGCTTTCTACATTCTGATATGTGTTGACCGGATTTTTACAGTAATTACACGCAATGAATTTTCATGAATTATTTTTAATTTGGTTACATGGTTACATGGTGGTTTATATATGTGGGATTGACATTATTAGCAAAACAACTTTTTAAAAGGAACTTTCTTTATTTTTCGTCTTCACAAATATTCGTCTTTATAGCTTGTTTTTCTAGATCGTAATCACCTCCGTAATACAATGATACAGCCGTAAGGTAATACATATGTACATCCCTCTCTCTCACACATATGTACATCCCTCTCTTTCACTTGAAGATGGGATCATATATGCGTTTAAAATTACAATTGTGTTAGGTACAATATTTTTTTTTTTTGCAACGAATATAGTCTTACAATTCTGTGGTAGTATCATTATTGTCTGTTGTTGTCGATGCTCGACAACAACAGACAATAATGTTTTTAAATAAGGTTTGCCTAGCTAGATTCATATTTCTAATTCTATCCTCTTGAATATCAAAGTGTCCGGCTAAAGAAACGAAACCTTTTGTTCTCAACACGACACCTATGTCAGAACTCAGTTCATTAATAAATACATTTAGAGCGATTTCTTCAGTGGTGCTCTTACTTCCTATCAATATCGCATATGTTACTTGAACTGCTAATTTCTCTAAGGTTTTATTTCTGCAAATATCTACAAGGTGGAATAAATCTGTTATTGATTCATTGGGTTTTTGAAAAAGTGATTGTTATTATATATTTCAGTATAAATATACATTATTTGTTATCTTAGTGAAATAGATTCATTTCCTACGTCAATTATCATTTCTTCTACTTTCTTTATTTTATGGCTAGTTATATTAGGCCTTCTGAATTTAATTTTTCATGTGATACTAATGGAATAAATTCAATTTGAGTTATTTTTTTACATATTATATTATAAAAGTATTCTCTGAGAATATATACAATAATATACAGTTATGAATAAAGTTCAATATTTGTTTTGAATGATAATAAAATATTGAAAAGTATAAAATTATTAAACGAAAACAAGTTATATTGGATAAAGTATTTTATATTAGACAATATAGTGACTTTATTATCAATAACGGACAGATGAGACAAGTTCTTAATAAACGAAATAAATGATAGGTGATTAATGGACAATGCAATCAAGAGAAAATGTGTTCCCTTACAACTATAGAGCCATTAAAAATTATAATAAAAATTTGATATATCTATAAGTTAAGATTATCTTGATGAAAAGTTTAAAATTTATAAATAAATTTGTAAACATTGTAAATTTGTTAATTATTGTTTTAATAAGTAAAACGAGAAATGTTTCTTTGTTTTAAATTAAATCCTGGCTATAGATTAAAATATTTTGTAACTTAAATTTCGAATGCATAAATCAATCAAATATTGTACATAGTTTTAGTTTAGTTTTATTTGTGTCTGTGATATTGTATAATAAATTTTGAAATGTATGTATGTTCTGAAATCTACATATTTAATAAAATTATGTTATACTTTATGAAATATAATACTTGTTTTGCACAAAATACCTTTATTTCTTATCCATACACACGTGTTCCAGAATGTTTCATATTGTACATCCATTCCCTGTAATAGTAGTTGCTTAGATTATATAGATAGTGTGTCTTCATAGAAATGCTTCGAGAAAAACGGGTCAACATTTTCATACAACTTTGCGTATTTATTTATTTATTTATTTACAAGAAACATGGTAAGTGTATAGATGTTACAATAAGTATAAGTGCTCATATTTCGCCATAATTAGGCATGCAAATATTGAAACTTAAAAAGAATAAATGTTAAATAAGTCATTAAAATTTGAAATGTTATATAAAAAAAAATACATCAAAATGTCAGTCACTTGTCAACAATAAAAAAGAAAGAAATGTCACTGTCAAATCATGGACTATTGATGACAGCTGCATTGTAACACGATAGGTAATTCAAGTAGGTTGTTTACCTTTTTATATCAAAAACTCTTGCACACTGTAAATGGACTCCTCAACAAGCCAATGTTTTAATGAATCTTTAAATTTTTTAAATGGGAGTTCTCGTATACTTTATGGTATTTTATTATAAATTTTAATTGTCATTGAATAACAATTTTTATGGTAAAGTGTGCTTCTACAGGATGGTATCTCCAATTTTGTTGGGTCTCTTGATATTAATTTATTATGATAAGCTAGTTTTGTTGTAAATAATTGCGGCTGTGTCTTTACGAATATTCCACATTCCATTATATAAAATAGAAGCTCATGTCAAAATTTTTAATTTTTTAAAATACGGTCTACAACTATCCAAGGATCCTATCCTACTTATACTCCTTATACATTTGTTCTGTGCAATAAATACTTTATTTATGTCAGTTGAATTTCCCCAGAGTAAAATACCATACCTCACTACTGATCCTACATATCCATAATAAGCTGTAATTGCGTATATAAATAGTTATGAGTGATTCCTTTATAATTTCTATATTTATTATGTCTTATAATTGTTGCATATTTTTAATGTGTATACACTCATTTTATTTATTAAATAATACTTCAATATATATATATATATATACTATATACATATACATATATATATATATATATATATATATATATAAGTATATAGTATGTAGAATACTGATAAAATTCGAGTCAGCTAATCTGACAATTAGCTGACAAAAAGTTGACACGTTTTTGAGGTTCGATGCTCTATCTACATAATCTAAGAGCCTAGTCGCTAGGCTGTGGGAAATTAAATTTTATGAAATATTTTTTAAATAACCTTCACTACTTACGTGGAAAGAATATTCAGCAATTCCTAATATTGGTTGCTTTAAACGTATAAAATATAAACCTACTGAACCCTAAATTGGTGTATATTCAACACGTGCTTAGACGGTTTTTTTTTGTAATAATAAATAACAATGTAATTTATACACTGAATAAATATAGTGTATTTCTATTATATAATAAAATATTATTTTCATGTAATAATTAAGGTAACTTCCTCATACAAAATTAATAAGAAAACTTATTTCAAGCTGACATTTAGCTATTATATATAATTGATGAAGTCGGGGTTTTCTCAATTTGACTCCATTTTATATATATATATATATATATATATATATATATATATATAATACCCCCCATGCGTTGCCATTCCTGAAGACTCACGTGTTATTCTCACTCAGGACTCAGGAGGACTCAGGTGTTATTCCTCTGTACCCAGTAAATTCACGCCATATCCCACCCTTCAAACCGAAACATAGTTATGCAAACACAACTACTTCACGGTAGAAACATGAATGGGACAGAGGTGCCCAAGCAAACGACTTTTATACAGTCTACTTTTGACTCGAAAATGTTTATTCTAGATTTAATATCGAATTTAGTTTTGACTATTTTAATAAGAGATTCATTCGATATCGCGTTATTTATTTTATCATCATCATCATCATCATTATAGCCTTTAACTGTCCACTGTTGAACTTAGGCCTCCCCTACAAGGGTGTTGCCACGCTTAGCAAGCGAGTTGGCAACCGCAATTAGGCTGTGACCATTCAGTTCCTTTAGTCGCCTCTTAGAACACCCACGGGATAGAAAGTATAAGACTGTCCGTCCGCACAAAAATGCGAATTATTCTTTTTCAAAGTCGGTCAATATTAACCGAAAAACATGACAATCAGTCGTTACGCCTCGTGTCAATGGGGCGATGCGAACGGCCCCTGGCGATACTAATTTGAGATAGTTTTGTTAGTGTTGGTGCGCGTCAAAATTACCGCATATTACCACAGTAATGTCGGCGTAATGACATTATAATGGTAAGCTTATATTGTTGCCAGTGTGATGGTACAAAGTACTTTAATCTCCTTTATTAGGATACTAGCAACCCGTCCCAGCTTTGCACGGGTGGACATTTTTACATTTTTTTTTATTTTTTTTATACAACTTAGAATGGCAAACAAGCTGACAGCTCACCTGATGGAAAGTGATAACCGTCGCCTATAGATATGAGCAGTACCATGGACATAACAGAGTATACTGTTTCGCCCATGATACCCCCATGCGTTGCCATTCCTGAGGACTCAGGTGTTATTCCTCTGTACCCAGTAAATTTAATTTAAAAAGTGGTTATTGTGACATAACGATAATAGTTGGACATATAGTATCGTGAAGTTTTCTGTAGTTATTGATATTTTCTTCAATATTGTAGAACATACTTTTGTTCTATCACCAATAGTCTCCGTAGCGCACGCGACCAAAGATATTTTATAGCATTTTTTATACCTTGAGTTACGTTACTAAAGTAAGGATTCCTAATCTTTTCTAGCAATAAATATAGCCTATGTTACTCAGGATGAATGTAGCTTTCTGATGGTGAAAGAATTTTTGAAAACGACAAAGTAGTTTTTGAGTTTATTCATTACAAACATACACACAAAAATACAAATCTTTCCTCTTTATAATATTAGTGTAGATTACATTTTGTGAATTGGACGTATTTGCAATTTAGCGTATCTGCATTCAAATTGAGTTAATGAGCTCGGATTATATAGATGGAGTCGAGTGTAAAAAAACGGCTCGAAATTTGCTCGAACTAATTTGACTTTTGTTTGATTAATTTTTCTTTATATCATTATTGTTGTTTTCAGTGTTGCATCTAATTGGATTAAAAATTCGCTGATCAGTTCGATTTACGAAGTTTGAATTTAGGATAATTTTTTCCAATAAATATACATGTATATGTACTGTTTGTAGATTAATATTATATGTAATAATTAAATTAGTGGCTATTTTCTATGATTTATTCGGATATAAAAAAAAATTGTAGGAATATACATCATTACGAATCATTACACACTGTTTGTATTATTCTTTTTAATTTATATTTGTAAGATTTTTTTTATCTTATTTGTTGAAAACTCCAACAGAATTTATTACTGGCATAAAACTTTTTGATATATTTTTTATTACAATTAAAAATATATCAATTGACATGAATAGGAGAACGAATAAAATTATATTTCTATATAACTTTGGCGTTTAATGATTTAAAGCCATGTTTAGAGATTGAGTTCAATACAAAATTTGGTCCTTCGAGCCGGATATGAACCAGCGACCTATGGACACCTATTTTTCAACTTAACTTATTAATTAATATAATTTTTTGATATACTGAGTAATAAATAATGTTATGGTAACAATAGGCGACTATGGAAACTACTATGCGACTATGCGACTTGAAACGCCCATACTGGATTTACGTTATCTATGTATCATGCAATAAATAAATAAATAAAATAGAAAAAAAAAAAACCTAAAAAACCTAACCTAAATTAATGAGATTTCTATATAACTACTTACAACTACAATTCAATATTTGTGGACGTAATCGAAGATTGATAATCCGGCCGCGTGTAGGCGTCGCCCCATTGTTCCGGACCACACAAGACGCGTGTCTATTTAAATCGGGCGCATTAATCTTCCCTTTGTGCGGCGGCTCATCAATTATTATGAACATTAACGGACTTTCCGTTCTTTTATATTTAATTGTTAGTTGTAAACGTTTTGCTGTGATGAAATTTTAAAAATTTCAGAATGGAGATTAATGTATTCTTACCATTAAATATGTCGACTTGTTTTTTAACTCATTATTTATTTATTTATTTATTACATCCACTGGGTGAGCCTTACAGTCTTCCAATACGCTCACCCAGGAAAGCATGAGTACAATAACATATAAAAAAGCATATTATACAAAAATATTAAACAAAAAATAATATAAAAAGATTTAACTGAAACAAAAAAACGTCTGAACACAAATACTCTGTGGTCACTCGACGAAACTCCAGCAAGTTGGAGGCAAATACATCCAATTGCGGATACTGGCACAAAATATCATTGAGTAGTTTCAATGCAAGAGGTAGTGGAGCCTGCTTAGCGAACTCTGTTCTTCGTAATGGAACATCGAATAAGTGCCGTCGACATGCTCGCACATATATCTTTCAATTAAACTATTAAAGTACTATATGTACTTTTTATGGATGATAATGGAATGGTAACCCTGGCATATGGTATACGCTGGCAGGGCACCAGTGAGGAATGATTGCTGAGGATGAAAAGGCAGGTCAGTTAGCCTATCGTGATGAATACACCTGGAATTCGGCTCGATGGTTTCCAGGGGGAACCGCGTGGAGGTCGACCTGGTAGAGTATATTTATAGCAATGGGGGCTAACCTCCTCATTCCTAACAATCCTTTCCCGACTACTACATGTATTTTTTTTTTGATGGGTGAAAATGGTATGCTAATCCCGCCTGCGCTAACGGCATACGCTGGCGGAGCACCAGTGAAGGGTGATAGATGAGAATGAAAACAGGCCAGTTAGCCCATCATGATGAATTCATCATGAAGAATTAATCATGATAGTTTCCAGGGGGAACCGCGAGGAGGTCGACCTGGTATATATATTGCTAGCAATGGGATTCTTAGTCTCCATTACTAACAATCCCTTCCCCCTACTACATGTATTAACATCGGGATTAAAACTATTTATTGTTAAATTGAACTTAATTATAATGATCATATGCTAATTTATTTCTATAACATTGGGGTAAACGGGCATACGGCTCGCCTGTTGGTAAGAGATTACC